TCCGCACACGCACCTCTCTCGGCCTCCGACCTGTTCTGTGAGGGCCCCAGGCCACGGGCTGCTCCTGAGAACCAAGCGCACAGAGCCGGGGGCGGGGATGGGGGGCGGGAGAGGCCCCTCCTCCACCCCCACGAGCCTGCAGAGCTAAGCACCCCCATCTCAGTCCCTGAGAGGAGCGCCCTCGGTGCTGGTCTTGTGCGTGTTGGGGACACGAGATGAGCATCGGGCTTCATTTGTCCCGAGGTCGGGAACACGAGCCAGGGCAGGGCTGGGCCTACCCCTCAGGCCCCCACCTCACCAGCTCCTCGGGTCTCTGACCCGGATTATATACGAGGGTGTTGCCCTCACCGCCACCCAGGGGACGGGCCGAGTCACACCCCGTCCTGGGGCTTCCCTGCAAGGCCCCCTCTCCGAGGAGCTCGCATCCAGAACTGACAGGGAGTCTGAGCTCTGGGCACGATTCTCCCCTTTCTGCTTGGGGACACTGAGGCCCAGACAGGGAAGGGCGAGTCCATGTCAGCGTCTCCAGAGGTGCCTGAACCCCAACACGACTCAGCCCCTGTCCCTCACGGGCCCACCCACCCCTCCCCACAGAGCCCCTCGCTTACCCCTCTGTGGGCCTGACTCCAAGGTGGGGAGGGGCCGATCCTCAGAGCCTCCTGGGGATCAGGATGGGGGGTGACTGACAGGGCGGCCTCCTACCCCTTGACCCAGCTCAACCCATGGATGGGACAGTAACGGGACTCACCTGAGACCAGCAGCTCCAGGGGGTCACTGGGCTGTGAGCACGTCTGAGGCCTGTACCTGTCACAGCCGTAGCATCTGAAGGTCCACCTGTGGCTGGGGGTCACGGGGCCCACGGGGAACAGGGCCTGGGACTTNCCCAGTGTGGCTGGGGGTCACGGGGCCCACGGGGAACACGGCCTGGGACTTCCCACTGGGCTGTGGCTGTGAGTCCCGGGTCCAGGNTCCAGGTCCAGGAGAGCCTGTGGTCTCCTTCCTTAGTCAGAATGAACCTGCCAAATCCCTGCCCTGAGCCACACTGGAGGGTCACGTTCCCTCCTGAGGCCACCACGGGGCTGGGCAGGGCCGAGAGGCTGGGTTTGCTGTACAATCCTAGGAGAGGAGGGGGCAGAGTGTTAGATGGAGTCACACTTCCCTCACGTCCCCCAGGACTGGGCTGTGGGAGGGGGACACCCTGAGAGCAGACCCCCTTCCTGAGGGCAGAGCCTGAGGCTGGGACCCCTGAGTGTCCTCTCACCTGTCACC